GAAGCTGCAACCAATCACAGCACAGAGTCATCTTGTTATATTATTACAAACATTATTATTATTAATAATATGTGTAACATCATTATTTTATGTGTTATTATTATTATGTTATCATTATTAATATTACGAACATAACTTCCTGTCTCACCTGTGAGGTCAATGTGAAGACTTGTCGCTGACTCCGCCCCTCCTGCTGACATCATCATGACACCTGATTACATCATCACTAATGAACTCTAATTGATTCAGATAAGTCGTTAATAACTTAATGAGAAATATTATATGTGATTAATATCCAAACAAAACTGTCAATCAGAGCTTTCAGGGTGTGCCTGTGTGTGTGTGTGTGTGTGTGTGTGTGAGTGTGCATGTGTGTGTGTGTGTGTATGCCTGTGTGTGTGTGAGTGTGCGTGTGTGCGCGGGTGTGCGCGCGTGTGTGTGTGTGTGTGTGAGTGTGTGTGTGTGTGTATGCGTGTGTACATACGTGTGCGTGTGTGTGTTCGTTTCTGTTTGTGTGTGTGTGTGCACGCGTGTGTGTGTGTGTGAGTGTGCGTGTGTGTGTGTGTGTATGCGTGTGTACATACGTGTGCGTGTGTGTGTTCGTTTCTGTTTGTGTGTGCGCGCGCGTGTGTGTGTGCGTGTGTGTTTTCAGTTGTGTGTGTTTGTGCGTGTGTTTGTGTGTGTGTGCGTGTTTGTTTTTGTGTACGTGTGCGTGTGTGTGTGTTCTTGTGTGCGTTCGTGTGTGCGTGCGTGTGTGTGTGTGTGCGTGTTTGTTTTTATGTGTGTGTGCGAGTGTGTCTGTTTGTTTTTGTGTGTGAGTATAGGTTTACCTGAGTGTGTGTACGTGAGCAAAGTCTGTCTGCCGTTTCCTGAAATAAAGAAGTCCAATCACAGCGAACTTTAAACACTTCACACACACTTTATACTTCACACACACTTCACACACACTTCACACACACTTCACACACACTTTTATTTTATTTATTTATTCATTTATTTAACAGGGACAGTGCACATTAATGAACATTTCTGTAAATGTGCCAGAGTTAGCCAAGAGGCTATTTTCATCTGTAGTCACTCAATCTCAATCTTTATTTATTTATATAGCACATTTAAAACAACCTTCAGTTGACAAAAGTGCTGAACAGGCGATAACTACAATATGAAATAACACAAATAAACAATCATTCAAAACATGATGAAAAGCACAATAAATAGAAACATATTAAAAAACACATACAAATTAAAAAATGTAATGTTCAACTAGTATTAAAACACTTTATACTTCACACACACTTCACACACTACTTTATACTTCATACACACTTCACACACACTTTATACTTCACACACACTTCACACACACTTCACACACACTTTATACTTGACACACACTTCACACATACTTAAATATGTTTTTCTGGATATACGATACTGTCAACCCTCAGAAGTTCAATAAAATAAAGTTACCGTTAACGTCCGGCGAGTCGCCGACCTCTGGAAGAACAACATACATGTGATTAAATAAAATATATAAAACATCATAAATACACAAATAATACCGTCTGAGTCCCGGCGCAATACTACTGTATTACTTATACTAATACTGCAGTAACACTTATACTAATACTGCTGTAACACTTATACTAATACTGCAGTAACACTTATACCAATACTGCTGTAACACTTATACTAATACTGCAGTAACACTTATACTAATACTGCTGTAACACTTATACTAATACTGCAGTAACACTTATACTAATACTGCAGTAACACTTATACTAATACTGCTGTAACACTTATACTAATACTGCAGTAACACTTATACTAATACTGCTGTAACACTTATACTAATACTGCAGTAACACTTATACTAATACTGCAGTAACACTTATACTAATACTGCAGTAACACTTATACTAATACTGCTGTAACACTTATACTAATACTGCAGTAAACACTTATACTAATACTGCTGTAACACTTATACTAATACTGCAGTAACACTTATACTAATACTGCAGTAACACTTATACTAATACTGCTGTAACACTTATACTAATACTGCAGTAACACTTATACCAATACTGCTGTAATACTTATACTAATACTGCAGTAACACTTATACTAATACTGCTGTATTACTTATACTACATTTTCAGAGTAAAAGCCTCAGTAGATTTCAGATTAAAAAGCCTCTCACCTCCCTGGGCTGCTGAGAGGGAGGAGTCTAAGAGAGAGCTGGGCAGTGATTGGGTCAGAAGAGCTCGAAGAGGCGTGGTCTGGTCCTGATTGGTCGACGCTGATGTCATGATCTTTATCAAGAGAGAAGAGACTTTACTGCCACCATCAATAAAAAAACACTTTCATATAACATAATATAATGTTATATCATGTAATATAATATAGAATAATATACTTTAATATCATGTTATATAGGATAATATAATGTAATACAATATAATATCATGTAGTATAATATTACGTTTTTTTAAGCTAGGCTTCTGTTCACACATGAATGAATACAGCTAACACACATAATGAAATCATCCTCAAAGTATTTAACTTTAACCTCATCACTGGACGGTTATCGTTACCAGTCAGGTCACATGACACCTTTAGTCAGGTCACATGACACCTTTAGTCCGGTCACATGACACCTTTAGTCAGGTCACATGACACCTTTAGTCAGGTCACATGACACCTTTAGTCAGGTCACATGACACCTTTAGTCAGGTCACATGACACCTTTAGTCAGGTCACATGACACCTTTAGTCCAGTCACATGACACCTTTAGTCCGGTCACATGACACCTTTAGTCCGGTCACATGACACCTGTGGGTCCACCTGTACCACCTGTATCACCTCCACCTCCACCTGCACCACCTCCACCTGTATCACCTCCATCCCCCCCACCTGCAGCAGCTGGACTCACCCATCAGGCTCAGCAGGAAGTCGTGGCTCGACTGATGGACGGTTCCTGGAGAAGAAAACTGGAGTTCATTCTCTTATTATATAAATATATAACTATATATGTATGCATGTATTTAGATTTGATATATAACTATATATGATATCTGTTTACCATATATACTTTATATATAACGGTTTACTATATTTATAGAGTAAGTATATATTTAGTCTCCATATAACTCTATATATGTATTAAGTCAGACAGACCTCACCTGGACACTCACCTGTATTCTCCAAATTAGAAACTCCACCCCCAAACGAAGACAATACACCTGAGAGAGAGACAGGTAAAGACAGAGACAGACAGGTAAAGAGACAGACAGACAGACAGACAGACAGACAGACAGACAGACAGGTAAGAGATAGACACACAGGTAAAGAGAGAGAGACAGGTAAAGACAGAGACGGACAGGTAAGAGACAGACAGACAGGTAAAGAGATAGACAGACAGACAGGTAAAGACAGAGACAGACAGGTAAAGAGAGAGACAAACAGGTAAAGAGAGAGACAGACAGGTAAAGAGAGAGACAGACAGGTAAAGAGACAGACAGGTAAAGAGAGAGACGGACAGGTAAAGAGAGAGACAGACAGGTTAAGAGAGAGACAGACAGGTAAAGAGAGAGACAGACAGGTAAAGACAGAGACAGACAGGTAAAGAGAGAGACAGACAGGTAAAGAGAGAGACAGACAGGTAAGAGACAGACAGGTAAAGAGAGAGACGGACAGGTAAAGACAGAGACAGACAGGTTAAAGAGAGAGAGACAGACAGGTAAAGAGAGAGACAGACAGGTAAGAGACAGACAGGTAAAGAGAGAGACAGACAGGTAAAGAGAGAGACAGACAGGTAAAGACAGAGACAGACAGGTAAAGAGAGAGACAGACAGGTAAAGAGAGAGACAGAAAGGTAAAGAGAGAGACAGAAAGGTAAAGAGAGAGACAGAAAGGTAAAGAGAGAGACAGACAGGTAAAGAGAGAGACAGAAAGGTAAAGAGAGAGACAGACAGGTACATTTGGCCCCGCCCCCTGCTGCTCACCTGTCTCACTGTCTCCGCCCCCTCCATTCAGCAGCTTCTGTCCATTACCTGAAGCAGAGAAACACTCAGTCTGTGTGTGTGGTGTGTGTGTGTGTGTGTGTGTGTGTGTGTGTGTGTGTGTGTGTGTGTGTGGGTGGGTGGTGTGTGTAGGTGGGTGTGTGGGTGTGTGTGTGTGTGTGTGTGCGTGTGTGGGTGTGTGTGTGGGTTTGTGTGTGTGCGTGTGTGTGTGCGTGTGTGTCTGTGTGTGTGTGTGCTTGTGGGTAGGTGTGTGTGTGTGTGCGTGTGTGTGTGTGTGCGTGTGTGTGTCTGTGTGTGTGTGTGTGTGTGGGTAGGTGTGTGTGTGCGTGTGTGAGTGTGTGTGTGTGTGTGTGTGTGTGTGCGTGTGTGTGTGTGTCTGTGTATGTGTGTGTGTGTGGGTAGGTGTGTGTGTGCGTGTGTGTGTGTGTGTGTGTGCGTGTGAGTTGTGTGTGTGTATTTGTGTTGTGTGTCGTGTGGGGTAGGTTGTGTTGTGTGTGTTGTGTGTGTGTGTGTGTGTGTGTGTGTGTGTGTGTGTGTGTGTGTGTGTGTGTGTGTGTGTGTGTGTGTGCGTGTGTGTGAGTGTGTGATGATTACCTGTTGATTGGGAAGCTGATGAGCTGCTCTGATCACCAGTTGCTAAAAACAAACACAATATTATTTATATTTGTATTGTTATTATTATTATAATAATAATTAATAATATTGTTATTACCGATTTCCATTCAATATTATTTTCTTCCGGCATCGAGCAACTGATTTCAAAAGTTGGTGTTCATGATGATTTTAATAAACGACTCTTATTTTACCCGGTGACGAGTGACACGCTGCTTTATTCATTTGTTATAGGACAGATTATATTTCGGGTCACATGACCTGCAGCCTGAGAGTCACATGACCTGCAGCCTGTAAGTCACATGACCTGCAGCCTGTGAGTCACATGACCTGCAGCCTGTGAGTCGTCACATGACCTGCAGCCTGTGAGTCACATGACCTGCAGCTTGAGAATCACATGACCTGCAGCCTGTCACTCACCTGGAGCAGCAGCGCCTGCTGACGAGAGAGAGAGAGATACAGCATTAGACCTTATGGAAACATATATATCAATATGTATAAATATATATATAAATATATTTATACACCTGTGGTTTGTTTGCCTGCAGCTCCCCCTGCTGGATGACTGATAGAAGCTGAAAAAAAAGTGTCACAAATATGCATCTAAAAGATAAAATATGACTTATTTTTCCAAATTAATTTGAAATCTGAATAATTATATAATGTCATATATAATATATCTTCCTGAATGTATTGTGTGTTTGGGGTGAAGTGGACTCACCGTTAAGATCCTGGACGTTGGATGAAACTGCAGAAAGGTGATTTTATTTATTACTGAATCATTCCTCTTTAAACAGCTGATGAGTTACTAGTGAGATTAAACATCGTTATGTAAAATGCAATAAATGTGGCTCTGGATTTAATTTGACCCAGTCAGGAACTAGGAAACATAACTAATAACGTACAATCGTAACGATGCGCTCGAGTCACATGATGCGCTCGAGTCACATGATGCGCTCGGGTCACATGATCTGTGTATGTCCAGTGTTCATGCTGCTCTCACCTGAACCTCCGGACTCCCCCGCTGCCCCGGCTGTCTCCACTGACTCTCCCGGGGTGGTCCCACCAGCAGCTACTGTGTGTGTGTGTGTGTGTGTGTGTGTGTGTGTGTGTGTGTGTGTGTGTGTGTGTGTGTGTGTGTGTGTGTGTGTGTGTGGGGGGGAGAGTATCAGATGGTCAGCATAATAAGCCACTGTCTCCAGAGGAGTTATTAACTCACAGGATCGGTGTCGCTAACAAAGACCCATTCAGAGCAAGAAGTCCTTCAGAGGAAACAAGAAGAGGAAACAAGAAGAGGAAACAAGAAGTCCTTCAGAGGAAACAAGAAGTCATTCAGAGGACACAAGAAGTCCTTCAGAGGACACAAGAAGTCCTTCAGAGGACACAAGAAGTCCTTCAGAGGACACAAGAAGTCCTTCAGAGGACACAAGAAGAAGAAACAAGAAGTCCTTCAGAGGACAACAAGAAGAGGAAACAAGAAGTCCTTCAGAGGACACAAGAAGTCCTTCAGAGGAAACAAGAAGAGGAAACAAGAAGAGGAAACAAGAAGAGGAAACAAGAAGTCCTTCAGAGGACACAAAAAGTCCTTCAGAGGACACAAA